TATTGAAGGACCATGAAATGTGCTTTCCACTGACGTGAGAAGAGTAAGTGTCTGATAACCTTTTGACTAGTGTTGTCAATCGGTTGTAATTTCGTAATCGATCATCGGTTGGACCCAAGTAACCGATGATCGGTCACAATCGGTTACTCGGGGTGTTGAATGCCTGCGTGTGCGTAACGTTGTGTGCATACATTATATGTGCTTGTTTAGCCAGCGTATAAAATCCCTAGTGTGTCCTAGGCTTTAGCCCCTCAACAGGAAGTAACTACGGTGAATGTCGGGTGATTCCCGAACTAAAATAGTAATGATATCTCTGATTCTCATCACTTTTCCAAGTTTTCTTGTTCAAGTTTTACATTTATTTCGATTTTTGTTGTTGATGAAATTGGTTATGGATTTTGATAACCAAGCGCTTGGTTCGAGCCACTGTTCAACCGATGATCGAGTATAATCGATGATCGTGACATCACTAAGCGCTTGGTTCGAGCCACTGTTCAACCGATGATCGAGTATAATCGATGATCGTGACATCACAACTTTTGACCCTCAAGAGGAGGGTTAAACATGGATTCCTGAACTGCCTCAATGATGTCACAGTGTTCTCATATTCATGGCACATCCATAATCTAGAAAGCCAATAAGCCTGGATAGCCGAACGGTTACAGCACAGCCATCACGGCTGAAAGGTCCTTGGATCGAATCCCATCAGATTTTTTATTATTTACCTGTTTTCTGTATTTTTCTATCTTTATCCATTCAACTATTTTTTTCAAATTAACACAAATATTTACATGGTTTATTTACAACAATTTAATAACAACAAACAATATTTTTTTTTTTAATAGGGTTAGGGTTAGGGTCACAATGCACCATAAAACAGGAGTTTCAGGCACGCGATTTGTATCAACCAATGGGATTTGGGAGGTATGCAGAATGCAGGGTTGCTGTTCAAAATGATGTGTATCTGCGTATCTGCATATCTGCGCCTAACAAAGGTGTCACTATGCACGACTTAAATGTTACGTTTATAACCGTAGCAACAGACCTCAGATGAGCCCAGACGCTCTGCGGCTCTTGTTTTACCTCGTAGTGAAGTGCTCTTATTTAAATGTGGGTTTTTTCCAATGCCAACTGAGAATTATGTGAAATTCGATTGCAACGGTTGAACATTGTTCCTCATTTCTGTTATCAAATTGTATATTTTAAATCTAATATATTAATCTGATACAGTATAGAGATTTGTTTATTTTACTACAACTAATCATAAATTGAATCTTTTACCTTGTAATGTAAATCGATTGTCATTGTGAACGAAATCATCAGGTTTGAATTTAAAGGATAGTATTTTGAGACAAGTGATGTCTGTGCGACAGTGTGCGTGCATGTATATTTAGTAATTTATTTATTTTTAAGGGGCTATTCACAATTATCAGCATGCATTATAAAAAATCACACATGCATTATAAAAAAATGCAGATATTTCTGATTTGGTATTCGGTATTGCTTTATATTTATTTGCATTTCTTAAAGCATACAACTATTCTCATCTGCACTCCCCAACACAGCATAGGGTGTATGATGCTAATAATTGTAAATGCCCCTAAGTATTATTGTATTAAGGGGCATATATATGTCAGGGTTTCTTCTGAGGGAAAATTAGACAAAGGGGTAATGGCCAGTTTGGGGAAAAAATGCGCATGATGGATTCAAATGCAGGATGTATTGATATACTTATAGGTATATAGATACAGTATATACTTATCAGTAAATACAGGAACATTTTCACAACGGCTATGTTAAATTTGACAATGGCGGTGCGCCACTGTGCCTCTTATGTATAAGAAACCCTGTATATATATATATATATATATATATATAAAGGGAAGAAGAGAGAGCAAGAGAAAGAGATAGAATAGATGTATATACTTTTTTACATAATAAATGTATTGTGCATTGATTGACACAAAATGCATTGTCACATTCACTTGTAAATAGATGCTGAAAGACATGGTTACAACACAGCTGCAGTGGTATCACACTAAATAACTAGACAGAGGGCACTCAAAAAGAGTGCATACCTCCGCGAGCGTGTAACATGTATACATGTGTATAACAGCTGGCTCGCTGCTGCCGACTGGGCGGCCTAAGGCGAGCTGGTGCTGAATCGATCGCGCTGCTGCTGCTGGCTCGCTGCTGGCTACACACACACACGAACATCACACGGGAGGTGTCACATTACCTCCCTGCAACTCCGTTGCGGAGGTAATTACCCGTGCTTTCACACAGGTGATGTGCTGACCAGTTGAGCCATTACATAGCCTGGAGACGGGCTTTGGCATGATTAAAAACGGGCACATATATACACGTACTCGTATTACACAGCTAAACATGTTGAGCTACCATATAAACATTGATTAAATAATATGTACAAGTACTTGCTTTCGTTAAGGAGTAATATCAAGAGCTAATGATACCTCTTAGCTCTAGGTATTATTAGTTCTTGGTAATATGTAGCACAATAAATGTGCTTGTATATAATAAGTACCCGCCTATGACGTTTTTGGCATTACAGATTGTATAGAGTGCGAATTATAGTTAGGATATGCGTATCACGAAAATGTAAATATACTAAGAAGATAATGTCACACACGTAAAGTATGTAAAATATAATGTACGATGTAAACTACTATGATTACTAAATATTGTAAATAATATTGATCAGCATAATAACCTGTGAAACGAAATGCTGACGAGTGGGTAATCGATAAGCTCTGGGTACTTTCAGGACTTTGATCGTGAATTGGATTAGATATGTAATGACATACATATCACAACATCTAAATACATAGTCATGCATAAAATTCCGTACATGTAAATATTCAATTAGATAGCTCATAATACACTGATTTCGACCTCGAATGTAATGAATAAACACCCGGCTTTCCAAACTCTTTTACAGACCAATCTGTCATTACTTAACCACCAACATGCTGCTAGTTGTTACATGTTTTGAACTCTTGGTTGGCTGTACCAGAAATAGGTTTCTACAAAGTAACAGTTCTAATTCAAGTAGAGAATCAATCAATATTACCATAACTGTGAACAACAAACAACGGTAAAAAAATTGAATCGTCAATACGAATTACGGCTCAAAATAGATTCGTGACTGATGTTATTGATTATTGATCTGTTACATGTGCAGAACGCTCACTGCTTATCACCATTACGCAAACGTTAAGGTTGCCAAACTTTGACGTACCTCAACATCTACATACAATCACAAAATAGCACAGTCAAAAATATCACGCTACATCCCGTAGCTTTCATTTGCAATCGATAATAAAAATAAATGCTTGAGGCACTACGCGCAATATCACACGTGTGAGTTCTAAAGTCAGTGAGGGTGATCTCTATGACAGTGAAGGTGAATTATAAGATAGTGAGTGATTTCAATGACAGTGAAGGTCACACAGACGAACGGGAAAGTGGTCAGTCGAAACCTGCGTTCCGTTACTGGTGCCTGGCGGCAAAAAACGATCGGTGACCTAATTTCTGCCGGTGGATCCGAGGCATTTTGTACTGCAGGCTCTGCTGAGCTCGCAAGAGCGAGTCATGTAGGAAGTCGCTCTCTTCCAAGCTCTCCTGAAGGCTAATCTGCGAAAATCACACCGGGATTTCACGACATGGCACGACTCCTCTCGCGATACCTCACACGCGAGGATTGCAACGTCGGCCATTTTGGGGTTTTGCTCTATCCTAATTTGTGTTTTCTGACTTGCTTCCCTGCACTTTCATTCAACGAGTTCAAGGCACTCGTGGACGGTAACAATATGACTCACCACTACTTTTGCATTTTCAGCAGCCTTGTCTTGAGCCATACCTTCTGCTATTCTGCAAGAACAACAGATATGATTAATGCTGTTAAGTTCAGCATAACACTCACTGAGATATCAATACCGCACATAAAGTAGCAAACTAAACATATTTGTACGTGATTACTTCTGTAAAATCCTTGCCATACCTCAGTTTCTTTAAATTCAGTTCATAATCTTGCAGCAGCTCTTCTTTCTTGTCTAGTTTCTCGTGCAGCCGAGAGAGGGCAGCACAGTACAGCTGCAGCAGATTTCTGCGCTCGGCTACGACACTGCTCAGCTGATCGTTGGGGAGGTGAGCGAGGGAACGCAGGGCGGTGGGATTATTAACTCTCAGGTGGCTGCCGACACTCCGAGCCATGCACAGATACTAGAACATACACACAAACATTACACCATGGGGACAGAATTGCTTCCCATTTTTAAAATAATTTTTTACATTTTAATTTCAACATTAACCTCAGAATTAAGTTACATTTCAATTTCGACCAAACATTACTTTAATTACATTACTAACAAAACATAACGTTATCAACATTATTAATAAAACATTACAATATCAATATCATTCACAAATATTACATTATTAAAGGTGCAAAATTTCAGCACAAAGTTCGACTTTTATTTCATGCCCAATTTCACTATATTCTGTATGTTTTGTTGTGTGTTTGCCATCAAACAAGGCATGATTGTTTAGAACAAATTGCTGTCAGATACGTGAGAAATTCCATCTACGAGGTTACATTAAACAATTTTCGGGGGAGGACCCCCTGGACCACCCCCTGCCACAGGCTTCACAACATTGATGCTCGCCCCTTTCTTCATATACTGGATCCCCCCTCCTGGCCTCAGTCTTCCCAACATCGATGCTCGCCCCTTATCTTCAGATGCTGGATCCGCCTCCCCCATGCCACTCACCGAATCCTCGCTGGCATGCAGCTTCTGCAGCGTGACGCTGTGGGCGGATTTCTCCATGACCAGATCCGGCGCTGTCGCCACGACAACGGTCATCGGCAACCCCGCGTTGCCGTGCCGCTGCGCCTCGCGGGCTCCCGTCTCCGCGCCCTGCCCCCCACAGAAGGCGCCACGGGTAGTTGGCCGGTCCGACGCCGCGCCTGAAACAACTGGTCGATGGCAGATCGTGATTGAGAGATGCGACTAACGAGTAACGCTGAGAGTCGTGCACATTCCAGCGGGGCAGGCAGTTGGGTGTGAAGAATGGGGTTAAAATGTCAGCGGTTATGACTTGTGTAATCGGCAATCATTGTGAACGTAGATAATTACGATTTAAGAACTAGTTTCCAAAGTTTATCATAATCATCATCATCATCAACGTTGTCATCATCGTCATAACCTGATCGTGGAAAATCAGGTTAAACCAATTGCTAATTATGTGCGTAGCTCGAATCTATCAAGATGGTGATGAATCAGACTAGCAATAAAAAGTTGTAATTCAACAGAGGGTGAAAAACTGTGCGAGATACAGGTCAATGCAAGAAAAAAACACTTTTGTGTCTCAGATCAATGTTCGTCAGAAGTAGATAATAGGGAAGGAGTGTGACTTCAATAAACAAGGAAAATTCGTTATTTACTAGCTTTAGAATACCTACGATTTACTATGCGTAACTCAACCAATTTGAGCCCAAATCGTACACAGTACATTCGCCTAGCATCGTGCGAAATCGTTTCCTCATATACACCCGCGATCCGGAGATACAGACGTACGATACGATTCTCCATTCTGTTGCCAGCAAAACGAATCCATAACCCACCTAACTTGAAACAATAGGCAGCTACTAACGACTCTTGCGCACTCTTGTACCTCGGCGCCGATGGCGTGTGGCTCACTGGGAGATTGGACATCGACGCAACACTCGGCAGTAATCTTGACCTAATCGACGACTTCGTCGCGGGGGATACAATAACAAGAGCCGCAGAGCGTCTGGGCTCATCTGAGGTCTGTTGCTTACAGTTATAAACGTAACATTTAAGTCGTGCGTGATGACACCTTTGTTAGGCGCAGATATGCAGATACGCAGTTGCGTACACATCATTTCAGCAACCTTCTGCATTCTGGCATACCTCCCAAATCCATTGTGTTGATACAAATCGCGTGCCTGAAACTCCTGTTTTATGGTGCATTGTGAACCCTAACCCTAAACCGCTGTTAAAAAAAAAAAATTGTTGTAAACATTATTGTCATTAATTGGAAAACAATAGCTAATTGCATAAAAATAGAAAAATACAGAAAACAGGTAAATAATAAAAATCAGATGGGATTCGATCCAACGACTTTGAGCCGTGACGCCTGTGCTGTACCCGTTCGGCTATCCAGACTTATTGTGGTTTCTAAGACGTGATGCGCCATGATACGAGGCTCGCCGAGGATTGACACTTTGTCGTCTTCAATCACAGTCTACGCCGCCCCCTTATCTTCTAACTTTTAAGTACAATACCATTTCGCCATGGAATCGCCGATCTCACGAACTAGGCATTCTGCTAGGCTAAACGGTTTCCTACGATAGAGTTTGGCACAAAAACGAAATAAACACGCGTTTAGCGCACTAAGCTACGTACTTTTGTTGGCATTTTGGCATCTCCGTTAATAAGAATAAGCCGCCGCCTTCTTCGTTGATGGGCATGAATGGGGCATCACGACGTGATCGGTTCCTTTCCCCAGCCTGTTTTCTTTCGTAAATAATGAAATGCGCCGGCCGATGCATTTCGAAATCGAACAGGAAAATTTTCTGCATTTTCACTTGCTGTCGAAGTGAACGAGTGCGTCATTCATTGAACAAATTCAATAAAAACACACAATGTTCGGAGGCTAAATCCGAGCTAATGTTTACTATGCCACAGCGCCATCTCTTGGATGTTTTAATAGTAAATATGGAATTTTCAATAAAAATAATGCGTTTTTATATGTATTTACCACGATTTACGTTTAGAAACTATATGTTTATTTTTACTGATTTCTCGTATCTTTCCTTGGAGTTTCATCGTCTTTCAATGCCTTTCGGTAGGTTTTTCTGCGTGATTATATTTTTCGCATGCACTCATTTTGGAAATCCTCCAACATTTTTACTTCTTCTTAGTTAAGTTAGTCCATCTCTTCACTGTTATTTAGGAAGGAAGGTCAAACTGTGCCATTCGTATAATTTTACTCTTGCCTTCTATATATGATTTCCATAATTTTGCTCTTCTGCCCACGATAATATTTCCCTCGTCATGAACCTACATTTTTAAGTTCGGACTCTTATCATATCGTTATAACCTCCTATATCATTAATTAAATCCCCTAGGTATGAATATTTGGTGCATTTTTTTACATAACTTGGTTGCCTATTAAATTCTTTCTATCTTTTCTTTGTTTGTGAATGTTTATAACCATTGTATTTGTTTGTTCATTTTAAATTCGAATCTTTTTGATTCAGCTAATCTGGAGAATGACTGACCAATTATTTGTTACGGTTTTATAATCTCCAATTCCTACAATATCGTCAATATATAATCATTGTCATCTTCTAAAACGACAGACATCCGCTGACCGCTGTGGAGACGTGCCGCCGGGCCTCGAATTTGGCGCACGTCTCCACTGCGGACAGCGCTTCATACTTGAACATCCCGCCGGTCGCAGTGCGCATATCCCGCGGAACTGCGCGTCTACATCCGCGCGCCAGCGTAGGATCAACAGCAAAGCTGTGCCACGCAATCTTGTATCATTGTCTCTCTGGATATGGATGTGCCATGAATTATGACAACACTCACATCATTGAGGCAGTTGAGGAATCCATGTTTAACCCTCCTCTTGAGGGTCAAAAAGTTATCAGACACTTACTCTTCGACTATCAGCGGAAAGCCACATTCATGGTCCTTTCAATAAATGATAAAAATGGTAGCGTCAGCGCTGAAGCAAAAAGTTTTTCACTCTGTCCATTAGCCCATGTCCTCGGAAAATGTCTTGATATCTGACCTTTCCCCCCATTGCCCTTTGGACCTGTGACCTCTGAATAGCAAAGCAGTTGCCGCGAGATGGCGCGTGCAAGTGTCATCAATATTCAAAGATGGCATCACCCTTCGTGCGTGAATAACCTCACTCCATTGAGTTGCTAAAATCCAAGTATATTCAGGCAGGCGAGAATTTTGCTCAGCTGTGAGTTAACACAATCTACATTGCAGGTTGCCAGGCAATAATTATAATTAGAATAGTGCCAGTTCACGCCCCATGCATGCGTAATGGCGCTGCCCCCATGTTTTTGCCTACCCACGCGAGCATTCAGGGTTCATTCAAAGTGTGCTAATACAGGGTGCTACTTAGGGTGCTAATACAGACTGCTTAGAAAGTAATTATGATTTAAGGAGCGTAAACCTTGTTCAACGAACATTTTCGCCTCACATCCACAATAGCAAAAGCAGTTCAGTCCTTTGTTAACAGTCAACAAATCCATGTTTAACCCTCCTCTTGAGGGTCAAAAAGTTATCCGACACTTACTCTTCGCATGTCAGCGGAAAGTACATTTTATGGTCCTTTCAATAAAGCCGTAAAAATGGTAGGTCACCGCTGAAACAAAAAAAGTTTTTCAATCGCTCCGTCACGACCATGTCCTCAAAAATGTCTAAAATCTGCCCTGTGCCACATTGCACCTTTGACCTGTGACCTCCAATTTCGGCAAAGTGATTGCTTTTCTTACCATGATGCTATACACCGACTATCACGCAGCCTAGGTCGAGCCGTTTAGATTTGTGCCGCAAATTCTGATTCCTCCCTATACCTTAGTTAAGGAGGGAATGTTCCCCCTCTTTTACACCTCTTGACTTTGACCTTTGACCCCCAGCTTCGACACTCCCAACTCGTTTTCGGATTACCCTCCCACGTCCCGAATATCGTGACCGTACGTTCAAGCCGTTAGATCTTTGTGCCCAACTGTTGATGACCACGGGCCGACGGTAGCACGCTCATGCGATTCTCCAGCTGCGCATCTTGACTTATGAAATAAGTTAAGTTTAATACTTAAGTTAAGCTATACCTTAAGTTAAGGAGGGAATGTTCCCCCTTCTTTTACACCTCTTGACCTTTGACCTTTGACCCCCAGCTTCGACATCCCAACTCGTTTTCGGATTACCCTCCCCACGTCCCGAATATCGTGACCGTACGTCGAGCCGTTTAGATTTGTGCCCAACTGTTGACGGACGCACGGCCGGACGGACGCACGCTCATGCGATTCTCCAAGCTGCATCTGACTATGAAATAAGTCTGCAAGCTGCATCACTCAGAAATTAAAAATAATACATACTAGGTATGGTAAAGGAAAAAAAAAGGAAAAAAGGGGAAAATAAATTCCCCAGACGGATGTTCTCCCGATTCGGCCACTGCGCCGTTAAGGGTATACCCATGGATTCACACGTACGTGATGTTAATCTATACGTACCGCCATCTATTGCTGAATAGAATTTTTATGAATTTTTAACTTTTTAACTTTTTGTTTCAGCCAGAACCACCTCCCAGACGTGCTGATTCTGAAAATATCTTTAGTTTTCGTCTAGGCTGCGGAGTTCTCTAGTTATGCGAGTACGAACTAATTCGGCTGAACAACTTTATATATATAGAAACCTGCCTGTTGATTTGATTGACTGCAGATGTGTAATCTTCTCTCGCATCTCAGATAGTGCTGCCCTCTGTCGAGCAATAACGTGCTGATGCTCCTCATCATAGCATGTCATGCCACGTGACATCGATTCCATGTTGCTCTACAATGACAAACAATGCTATGTGAAAAACACGCGAAGGTAAAAAAATACCATGCAACGAGGTCGTGTAAATATAGATACAGTATCCCCAGAAGATTCGTACCCTAGCAACGGTACCGAATTTGTGCACTCTCTCCTCTAAAGTTTGCGTCTTCTTCTCCATTATAGCGATATTAGCACTTTTGGCCTTGCTTTCTCTCTTGTGTTTCAGCGCTAACTGCACTTGCTTCCTAAAACAGATATTCAACGCACCAATTAGAATACAACATGTAAGGCGGATTATGATAACCAGTGCGATGGCAGCAAGTATCGATTCCTCCACAAGAAAGGTTCACGTTTTTAAAATAAGTTTCTTCCCAGTTCACATTTACTACCGAATATTAACTAATTTAACTGCAAAGTCAATGATGACATATAATCACTCGATTCTCATACAGAAACAAATATACAGTCTCTCCTCCTTTATCCGGCCACGTCGGGACCAGCACCCATCCGGATATGGGATTTGGCCGGATATGAGAGTTATGCTCAAACACAGCATTTCTATGCAGCTCATTAGGGTTTATGCATGTGATAATGTATTTACTCGTTGCTATGATTATTTGTAACAAACTGTCGTGTTTTATGGTTTATATGAAATGGAAATAAAATGAAATAAAACAGAAATTTTACCACTTCGGTTTATGTTTGTTTCTTTTGTGCTGAGATCTAGGGCTGTAACAATCAATACACTTGCGTATTCGATGCACCGAATATTGTTGTTGGACAATACGTATTCGTTATTCGTGTCGTCATTATTCGAATACTGACGAATACAAATAATATAAATGGAACCTACGTGTACTTGAAAAAATATTTTTTAAACTGCAATTCTACGCCGATTTGCTCGAATTCTGAATGTCGTTTGCAGCTTTCCCCGTGAACGCACCTAGACTGGTACCCGTCCCTTCTCACATGTCGAGAAGGCCGGGACGTGTATCTTACTATCACGTGTAACTCACCCCATATCGAGCGTGTGAGAAGGGACGGATACTAGGGATGCAGCGGTATACCGGTATTGCGATATTATCGCGGTGTAATATTTTAGAATTATCATATCGTAACCAGCTCAATACCGTGGTTTTCTTGTTGACATGTGCTATACACGTCTACAGTGATGTCACGAAAATCTGACAGCTATGCGGCATAATGCCGCGTTTTTCCAGCCATGTGCGCGGCAGCGGCGCCTTTGATTGAAGTACGGGGCTCGATCGATCGCGAGCGCGTTTCGCTAACGTCCGCTAGTAAAAGTTGTTCGTTAACGGATGAAAGTTGTCCAGAGGCATAGCGGACACGAGCGGACAACACACACACGCACGCACGCGCACACACACGCATGCACACATACGGTTGGTACATCGTGCGAGTTTTGAGCGAGTTTGAGCGAGATTTTTAGGTGGAAATGAATGAAAAAACAGAGAACATATACTGCGAGATCGCGGCCGGTTAATAGAGATTCCGGAATAACGGACGGCCGGATAAAGGAGGTCGGACTGTATGTTAGTGTGTTTTAAAAATAAAAGTTCTTATATATAGCTGAAACTTATAGCATATAAAATACAACAATATTAATATATTACACAGTGGTATTTCAGTGTTTTGATTGTATTTTTATTTTTGTTGATAATCGTTTTTTGGTGGCGACGTAATTTTTTGAGTGTGCTTACTTGAGTTCGCTCACCAGGCCTTCGATTTCACGGTTCTGCCGGTTCACTACGTCTACCATCTCCACCGTGCACCGGTTTGATATTGTAGCATCCCTTTGCTGCTGTTCGTAAATTTTCGGTATTGTATCCAGGTCAATGCTCTGTTGTACACACTGGTCACCTATGATTATTATGTAGGTTTAGGTAACTAAATAATAATGAGTCTCTGGTCTCCCCTATCTGTCTATCCTAGTGAGGTAACAATTCCGCATCCAGCTGTTAATTTAATAATAATAATAATAATCTGATCTCCCCTATCTGTCTATCCTAGTGAGGTAACAATTCCGCATCCAGCTGTTAATTTGCTTTAATCTCGTAATTTTGGAAATTTGCGCGGATATTTCTGTCAACAGTAATTACGAGTCAAAGTTAATGTTAAGACTAATGTTAAGACTAATTTTGTTTCTGACAACGTCCCCCTGTCTGATAGCTGGGTACAATTCAGTTATTATTATTAGTATCAGAATATACAATTCAGTACCAACCCCCCTGTATGATAGTTGTCAGTGTAATGTACAGTAAGACACCCTATCTGATAGTTGTGTAACGATGTGCGATAATAGCCGTACCGCTGCTGTCGTGCGACGCGGCGTGCGAGCGATCCATCCACGATGCGCCGCGCTGCACGGACGCCGCGGGCCTGCCCCGCTCCCAGCATCCTCTCGTCGTCGTCGCCGTGGCGACCACCCGCCCTCCATCCAACGTCTCCCGCGCCTCCGTCAACACTGTCCGAAAAAAGACGGGGGGAGGGGGGTACTCGCAAAAACCAAAGCACTACATGAATATTTTTTCAGTATTCTTCTATTCAGTACGTCATTTCTTTTCAGTATTTTTTTTATCAGTATTTAATAGTAATAATAATTAATACCGTATATTACTGAAATACGAACGTGCAGATCTCCTGCACATCCCAGAGATTACACCCAGTGTAGGACAACTATGTGGTACTGTACTGACCACAAAATCTCGACGAGCTTGCATTTAACATGACCCGGCCCACTCTACATGTACAGCCCTCTCCTACATCTCCTTCAAGCGAATAACAACCCCCACCCACCTCTGACCACCCACCTCTCTACCCCATCTCCTTCTAGTGAATAACAACCCCCACCCCTTCCGACTGCCCACCTCTCCCCCAACTCCTCCTAGAAAATAACAACCCCCACGCCACGCCGACCGCCTACCTCCCACGTCTCTCCCATCACCTTCTAGCAATTAACCCCCCCCCCCCCACACCCACACTCACCCATTGCCCACTTGTCCTACATCGCCTTCTACGCAAATTAAACCCACCCCCCCCCGACCTCCCGACCACCCATCTCTCTCCCTCATTGCCTTTCCCTCGTCGCGAGGTCCTTACCCTGCACTTGTCGTCCGACGCCGACGCATCTGCATCGTAGCGAGCGCGTGGCCACACAGCCCGCCTCCGCGTCGGCCCGCCCAGACGTCTGCTTCATCGAGTGTCTCGCGCGCTGCGCATCCCCAGCTCGGCCCTCAGCTCCCGTTGTCACGTCGTGCAGGCCCGCCCGCCACCCGCTCCATCCTGCCTGCTTCACCTCACGTGATAACGGTCCAGTTTCTTCTCCGACATCCCTCCCCTCGCCCTTTAGTGTGAGAGAGAGAGAGAGAAAGTGAGTTGAGTGAGAGGGAGAGGGAGAGGGAGAGGGAGAGGGAGAGGGAGTGAGAGAGTGTGTGTGAGAGAGAGAGAGAGAGCGAGATAGACAGAAGAGAGAGAGAGAGAGAGAGGAGAGAGAGCGAGAGAGCGAGAGAGAGAGAGAAGAGAGAGAGCAAGAGAAAGTGAGTGTGTGTGAGAGAGAGAGCAAGAAGAGAGAGAGAGAGAGAGAGAGTGTGAGAGAGAGAGAAGTGAGGATAGAGAGAGAGAGAAAGAGAGAGTCGTGAAGAGAGAAGAGAGAGAGGCAAGAGAAAGTGAGCTGTGTGTGAGAGAGGAGCAAGAAGAGAAAGAGAGGAGAGAGAGAGTAAGCAAGAGTGAGAGAGGAGTGTATGACAAGCGAGAGTGGAGAATACGAGTAAGGAGAAAGAGACGAAAGCAAGAGAGAGAGAGAGAGTGAAAGAGAGAAGTGAGAGGGAGAGAGTGAGGGAGATAGAGAGTGTGAGAAAAAGTGAGAGAGAGAGAGAGAGAGAGAGAGAGAGAGAGAGAGAGAGAGAGCGAGAGGAGAAAGAGAGAGTGTGAGAGAGAGAGTGACGATAGAGAGAGAGAGAAGAGAGAGAGAAGAGAGAGAGAGAGAGAGAGAGAGAGAAGAGAGAGAGCGGAGAGAGAGAGAGAGAGAGAGAGAGAGAGAGAGAGAGAGAGAGAAGAGAGAGAGCTAAGCAGAAAGTGGAGTGTGTTGTGTGAGAGAGAGAGAGAGAGTAAGCAAGAGTGAGAGAGAGTGTGTGACAGCGAGAGTGAGATAGAGATAGAGAGAGAAAGAGACAGAGAAAGAGAGAGAGAGAGAGAGTGAAGAGAGAGTGAGACGGAGAGAGTAAGTGAGGGAGATAGAGAGTGTGAGAAAGTGAGAGAGAGAGAGAGAGCTGAAAAGAGACGAGTGAGAGGGAGAGCGAAGGAGGGAGATAGAGAGTGTGAGAAAATGAGAGAGAGAGAGAGAGTGACAAGAGAGAGTGAGACGGGAGAGAGTGCGGGAAGATAGAGAGTGTGCAGAAAAGTGAGAGAGAGAGAGAGAGAGAAACAGAGGGCGAGAGAGAGAGAGAAGGAGAAGAAAGAGAGAGAGAGAGAAGAGAGAGAGAGAGAGAGAGAGAGAGAGAGGAGAGAGAGAGGAGAAGAGAGAGAGGAGAGAGACGAGAGCAGAGAGAGAGAGAGCAAGAGAGAGTAGAGAGATGAGGGAGAGAGAGCGAGAGAGAGAGTTGGAGAGAGAGAGAGAGCAGAGAGAGAGAGTAAGCGAGAGAGAGAGAGAAGAGTGCAGGAGAGAAGCGAGAGAGAAGAGAGAGAGAGAGCAGGAGAGTGAGAGAGAGAGAGAGAGAGAAGGAGAAGAGTGAGAGAGACGAGAGAGAGAGAGAGAGAGAGAGAGAGAGCGAGAGAGAGAGAGAGAGAGAGAGAGAGAGAGAGCAGAGAGAGAGAGAGCAGAGAGAGCAGCAGAGACTCCGCATGAGATACAGGCGTTCGAATTCAGCCGACGAGAAAATCGAAGCAGATCGCAAAATCCACAAACAAACTTTTGCGAGAGAGCGTCGACGGGGGAACGACAGCGGCAACCGAACCTCAATCTCGCTCTGATCGGAAGGAGGAGGACCGATCGGTGAGGAAGGCTCACCCTCTCTTAGAACCTGCCGCTCACCTCTAGCTGCACAGGGCAGGGAAGTTCTTTTCCGGTACCAGCGACGCAGCAACCTTCTTCTTCTCCATCGTCAAAGATCGCGCGACTTGCGCGGCCAAGTTATTCTCGGCTTCGTCGCGGAGCCGTGTCGGCCGCGTACAGCCGAAGGCTCCCACGTATTCCTGCCTGCGCATCAGCATTTCCAGCCCCACGACTGCCTCCTCTTCACGCGATTGCTCCATTTTTCTGTGTTGGCATAAAAGCAGTAATATATTTAAAATAACATTATAAATTAAACGTAGAAAGGGGCGTTGTCGCAACGTACATGTTCCCCGTATTCTCACCAAGAATGTGTAAGTATAACGAAAGTTTGGCGCGCTAACGTCAATTAGGGAACCGAGTATTATAGAGCGAGAACGAGAATATATGATCAAGGTTAAGGTAAAGGCTCAGAAATAAAGGTCGTAGTGACGTGGTTTTTGTTAAGCGAGCTAGGTCAACTTAGGGGCCGATTAATAGAGGAAAGGAAAATATGATTAAGGTCAAGTAAAGGTGGAAATAGGTTGGCAGTGCCTGGTTTTGGTAAGCTGCCTCACTCTCCCCAAAGATGTGTAAAGTATACCAAGTTTGGCAGTGCTAGTCAATTAGGGCCCGAGTTAGAGAATGGAAGGGAATACTGATCAACGGGTGCAATGGTAACAGGTCAATAAAGGTCGCAGTGACCATGGTTTTTGGCTAGCCTAGCTGCTGTCACCTTCTCCCAAGATGTTTAAACATTACTAAAGTTATGGTAGCGCTAGTCAATCTAGGGGCGCAGTTAGAGAGGG